CCGGACGCGTGGGCGGCGGCGGGCCACGCCGACGGGGCCACGCTCGTCGACGCCGTCTCGTCGTTCCCGCTACTAACACGTTAACATCTTTTTTCCCCCATGGACGCTGCTCATTATCTCGGACTTGGGTCGACGATGGATCATCAACAATCTCGGGACCCTCTCCAATTAACGAATCCTAAACGCGACTTCGCATCATCGTCGCGCGACGCGGCGCGTCGTCGAATCGTTCCGACGTTTCCTTTCTGGACGGCTCTCGGCTCGTCGACCCGCCCCAATCCTCGTCGGTCCGCGCGCGCGACTCGTCCCCGATTCACCGGGCGATCCGCCGTCTTGCGCGCCCGGGGGACTCCCGGGAACGCAGGACTCCTCCGGCGATGAGGACGAGGGGGTGGACGAGTCGGAGATCCACGAGGAGGGCTCCCTTGGACGGCACGGCGGTCACGCGGCGAGAAACGGCCTTGCATCCGCAACGCTTCCTGTACGAGTCACGTCTACTCTCTCGGTAAACCCGGTCCCACGCTTCGCGCTGCGCTATCGTCTGCACCGTTGTCCTGCGTTCACGCGTTCTCGGCTTCCCGGTGGTCACCGAGGATCCGAACCTCGCAGGGATCGACGAGCTTGGATAACTGTGTCAGACTGTCGCGTCGGTTTAGATGGAACTCGTTACGGAGAACTGCGATACGGTAGATCACTGATTAACACTTTGACTGCCGCGTGAACGCTCGTCAAAACTCCCATGTACTCGAGACAGTTTTCTCCGTTAAGCAGAAACTGAGAAATCAAGATTAATAATTGCTCCGCTGTCTTTCTTGTATCTCATATATCCAACAAAATTCGGTTCGTTTGATACGTCATAAATGTACATGTTTGTGTAAGAAATAATGTCTCCGAGTTCGGGTGACGTGGCAGTCAGTGTTAATGCGGTTAACCCTTTGCCCTTTGATTTCTTTCTGAACTGCGATCGATCTGACTGCGTTGTTATTAATAATATATTGAAAATAAGGGAAGATTACAGTGTTGTTCTATGTCAACGTGTACTGTAAGGTATGATCGTTGATGATAGGAATAATTTGTAATCTGCATTAACAAATTGAATATTATATACGATTGTTACATTCTGTTTGGAGTCACCACGAGGCTGACACGACATTGTAGGCAAGGGGTTAACCCTTAATTACGCAAGGGCAGTCAACATTCGGGGGAGTCTTTTGTCTGAGAAACACTTGTGATACTGCTTTTAGAAGCAAGATAATTGTATTCGTAGCAATGCGATAATCTTTTCATGAGCGCATTTTTAAGTAAACAGTGCAATTCATATTTTTATAGCCAAAATTAGTCGCAGTTGCTGATAAGTTACAAAACCATCTGCTAAGGGTTAAATTCGAGAACTTGTGTTCTGTTACGTATCGCGTTACACGGAAATAGTCAATATCATCGGGTTATAGGAATTCACGTTGCACTGGGGTCTACGTTGTTGTCGAAGTCGATTAATGTTATAGTATCAGAAGAATACGTTTGGGCTCCGATGGATCTTATTCCGGAGAGAGCGCGGTAGCAAGCGTGCCCGTAATAGTCCTGCTCTACAGTTCTCCGTAACCGCTTCTGTAACCGAAACCGATACCATAACTGTGTTTAACCCCTGGGACCACGGATGCGCTACACCGCACCGCATTTCATTGCATCGCATCGCATCGCACTGCACCGCACCGCACCCCGCTGCACCGCACCTTCCACCCCCGTTGCAATATCGATCGAGCTCGATTTACGCGTCGCGTGCGAACTGAGGAATGCATCAGCGACTCGGAACGGTTTATAGTCGTTCCAGGCTTTCTGGAGTAAGTCGCGTCGAGTAGGAAAGTTATCCCAACGTTTCGCCGTCAGCTATCTTCGGGGGTCAACGACCGATACTAATTTACGCCTAGAATGCTCCGTTTTACTCGTACACCGATGGTGATTTCCTTGAAGATGGACTCTTTTAACACGTTCGCTGCCGACACTTATTTCGGTGACTGTCAATTATATTTTCTTCGATGCAGTGAATCTTCTGAAGAAAATATTAGAACAATGAAACAGAAACGAGTCATGGAGTTCTAATGTAACGTTGTAGATTATGATTTCTAGTAACAATATCTATAGGATTCTGTTTCATTTTCAATTATAATATTTTCTTCGATACAATGAATCTTCTAAAGAAAATATTAGAACAATGAAATTGAAACTAACCATCGAGTTTCTAAATATAACGTCGTAGTTTATGATTTCTAGTAACAATATCTATAGGATTCATTTCATTTTCAATTATAATATTTTCTCCAATCCAATCAATCTTCTAAACAAGATATTAGAACAATGAAACTGAAACTAGCCATCGAGTTCCTAAATATAACGTCGTACCTTATAATTTCTAATAACAATATCTATAGGATTCATTAAATTTTCATTATGTAAAATATAGAATTACACAAATATGTGACATTGGTAGCGAACGTGTTAACCCTTTGCGGACGAAGATCCTTCGAAACGTACAAAACCTTCAACACATAAAGCTATTATACATCAATTGCTTAATTAATAGAAAAAAAGAAAAGTACGCGATCTCTTGCTGTTCGACTAATTAGATCATTTGTACGACTCAGTCTTCGAAATCCGAACATTTCATCTCGCCGAGAAGCCGACATCCGCAGAGTTGAACCAAATTCCAGAAAATCCATCAAAGTCTTCCTAACGTCTCGAAAAACAGCAACGAAGTCACATATCGCGCACGGTTTACTCCCGAACCCCTCGAACGACTATAGCCCCTCAACCTCTGAGTCAGATCTGCAATTCGAAACGTCTTGTTCCCTTCCGCGTTCGGATCCTGGTCGCGCTCACCGTTTCCAACAACCCTCGCCTCTTCTCTGCTCGACAATATCGATTAGGTATCGATTGAACGTCTCCGATCGCGGCTGCACGATTTTTCTCTCTCGCATCGACGAGGGTACGGTCTCTCGATTTCCCGCCGCGCTACGAGTTTCCGGGTCGAGAATATCGCGGCGACTTTGCCTCCGCGCGTTCTCCGTTGACCTCTTACCCACGGTCCCAAGATACGCGTCCATTCCGGAGCGAAACCACTGCGAGCTACTGGCAGGAACGTTTCTCGCAAGCGAGTACGCGCGCGGAAAGTAGCCATCCGAAGGAATCGTTGAACTCGCCGCTTTCCAAGCGGTATTCGAGAAATACTCCGGGCAGCAACTCGCGACTGGTTCCGCCCCGAAGTGAACACCTAGCTTCAGACCTTGCCGAAACACGCGTTTAGCACTAACCGTACCGCGTTCAAGCTGAGTATACTTTTCCAAATTTTTCTGTAGAAACACTGAAAGTGCAGGACTTTAACACTTTGCCACCAGAGAACACCGATCGCAAATGGTTAAACTGATTTCGAATTCTGCGTTTTTTCATTTACTCGAATTTACATCGGTCCTCGTATCGTTATTGGTCAGTTCTCAATTGTCCTTTCTATTCTTTCTGTTCCCACTGACTCGTGGTCCGATTTGTTTACCTGTTTTGCAGCCGGTTACATTCGACCGGTTACAATAGGGATAGGTACATACAGTGTCGGTACGTTTAGTGTTAAAGGTCGTCGCACACTTGACAACGCATCCGAAAGGCACCAGGTCAATGTCAGCCTTTTGGCTTCCTCGTATGTAGTCCAAGTGGAGCCGCGTCCTACCTGCACTGGCACGCATCAACAATAGCTGGACGCGTCCCCGTTTGAGCTACTCCGTTGCTCATTAACCCTTTGCACTCGGAGAATCATCGTGAATATTCGCATTTCCAAACAAAATATCGACGGGACTCTACAACTGAAATGAAGAGAAGTTGTGTATGACTCGAGGAACAAAAGTGTTTCGTTGCGATGCTTCGCGTGTCGACAGGTTGTACGAACTTTGACACCGAACATCGAAGTTTCGAAATTCGCTGCATCCAAGCGACTGTTCTCCAGTGCAAAGGGTTAAGAGTCCCCAGTACAAGGACAAGAATCATTTCGTTTATACTCCTGATTGCAATCGTATGGGCGAATTTATTATTAATTAGCATAATGAGGAGAGAAAAGATGAGAGTCGATCCAGTCCTTCCAGCGCTGTTTCAATCAAATAGACACAAAAGAATGCCAAAAGGCTACCGTCCACCTGGTACCATTTAGATACGACATTGTTACGCATTATTAGACGTGTGCAACCTCCCACGTGACATCTCACTTTCCACCGTAACGGACGTTTGTCGCCCAGTGTGACAGCGAACCGTTCCCCTACATTCGACGATCTAGTGATCAATCAGGTCTGAGAATCTAACGTTCGTTAACACTGGATTTACGGACGAGCCAATTCGACCATTGAATTTTATAACCATTATTTGGTAAACCTTTGGTAAACCTTAACTCTAATCAGACCACGATGAGTCACATTCGAACTTCAAATTTTTGATTATTCATATTGCATTTCCAAAAGTTTCTTTAGGCTCTTAAAATTCGGGCACAAAAGCAACCTTTTAACCCTTTGCACTCCGAAGTTTTCCACTATAAATATTTCAACATTTCCTGACGAGACGAAGACGATATTTCGTAAAACCAACTCGAAATTCACGTGAATTGACGGACAAAGCTATTACGTCAATATTTCTTAGATTGATGCATTGTATGAAGTATAACATTAAATATCAAACTTAATAGCTTCACTGTAGGAAATCAAGTGGCGACTGGGAGTCACCTCCCGAGTGCAAAGGGTTAATCATTCCTTTTACTCCTAAGTGACTAACAGTCGCACCATCGTATAACTCCTTACAAAAACACGTGGTACGTGTGAAACATTCGATTCCCCAGATCCCATCGATCTTTCTGTGAACGATAGAATAAACTGCAACAAACGCCCGTGAATCCAGTGTCAATCGCGCGCTGTTCGCTCGAATGATTCCGGCGTCTCCCGAGCACCTGATCCGTTGCGATGTTACAATACCTTTTCTCTGTTTCTTTTTTCAGCATTCTACGAAGCAGTCGATCCCGGTGAAAGGTACGTAACGCTTGGCCGTGCGTTCGCCGAGGTACCAAGGGCCGAGCGTGCGTGCGTGTGTGTCCGGCGGAGAACAGTTTCCGCGGAGCAGACCGCGACGCGCGCGTCCATCGATTTTTCGAGTCGCCGGGTTGTGTTACGAGCATGTGCCGTTAACGCGAGCGAGCGGTGCTCGTCGGCATCGAACGAGCGTTAACGGACAGTCTGCCGGAGTACGAGGACGCGATTCGTGCCTCCCGGGCCGGACTATCGACTCGCCGGTCGCGCGCCACATGCATAGGCGCAAGGGCAAGGACCTTGACGGTGGCGAACCTTCGCGAACAGGCGCAGCCGACGTCGCCTCTCCTCCTTCTCTTTAGCTCCGGTTCCGTTTCACGCGTTGACTGCCACGCGTCGGTCACCGGTGACCGGCGCTTCCGGGTCGTTCCAAAACAATCATGCACGCTGACGCCGAATGCACGTCCGGTAGCGTAAGTAACTGGATCACAGTTCGTGTCGCTTGATTATTGGTTCTCCGAATACTCGATTGCCGATCAATAACGTATCGTCTCCTTTGTTTCAAGGTTGGACCGACCCGACTGTGCGTCTGATTGTCCGAATCGTCTTGGTACCGATTAGTTCGGATACTCGAGGTTTCAGTAGAGTTTAACATGGTTTTTGTTTGTACTTTTGTTATGGAAAAGTAAGTGGTATGAGACGCTGAGGATTCTCGTGGTGGTCAACGCGTTTACACGGTTCGAGACGCGTTTGGTTATCTGTCTGATCGCGTTGTCGTGTCGCCGTTATCGTCGCCATGAAATTCGACCCGTTGAGCTACTGTTTCGGGAAGAAAAACAGGGTGAACGTCCGAGACGACGGCCGCGAGGACGCGCCGTCCTCGCCGGAACAGACTGGACACGGTAACGTTCGCCGTTCCGTGCGGGGATCGTTTAATTTGGGATTCGAACGGCTCGTGCTCGTTTAACGCGTTCGCGTGTACCACCGGTGGATCACACTCGAATGTCGCATCGGACGGCGTGCACCGTTGAATACGTAGTTCCTGAAATTCACTTGATAAATAGACTCCGTTCAAAATTAACACGTTGAATGGCCGTCGGTGATCAAATCGAATTACTGTGGATCACTCAATGATACGATGATTATTTGAAAAGATTTCTATGTTATAAATAATGCTACGTAATACGGTGACATTTAGCTAGATGAACATGTAATAACAATGTAATTCAATCGAACGATTTAATATTATATTCTGTCCATTGCGTGTATTCTACTCTAATCGTCTGTTCAACGTGTTAATTTACTCGTTAATAATTCCAACGGTTTCAAAAATCTCAAAAATTTCACCGCCACGTGGCCAGAAACGTGATAATCACGATGCAGTTCAAACGATTTCACATTATATTCTCTCCGTTGCGTGTATTTTACTCGATGAAATCGCGTATTTCGACGGTTCCAAAGATCTGAAGAATTTCGCCCTCAGATGTACAGAAACGTGAATAATCATGATGCAATTCAATCAAGCGATTTAATATTATATTCTCTCCGTTGCGTGTATTTTACTCGATGATATCGCGTATTCCGACAGTTCCAAAGATCTGAAGAATTTCGCCGGCAGGTGTACAGAAACGTGAATTACCGCGGCGACATAAACGTGTTAAAGATCTCGTGGCTAATGTCTCGTTTGCAGCGGGCTTCAACAGGCAAATCACGCGGCAGACGGGTAGGCCGACGAACATAATGACGCCCGCCGCGCCCCTGAACGGACACGGGGATTCGGTGACCGGGCTGACGGCCCGACGAGAACTGGAGAACATACCGCCGACGCCTACGACCTTCGACTTCAACGCTCCCGCTCAAGTGAAATCGCGGCAACAGCAGCAACAGCAACAGCAGCAGCAGCAGCAGCAACAGCAAATGCAAGTCCAGGTGGAGAATGGACGCGGAAGGCGCTCGAACGTCGTGAAGGAAGTCGAGAGGCTGAAGAAGAACAGGGAGGAGCGAAGGCAGAGGCAAGCGGAACTCAAGGAGGAGAAGGAGGCTATGATGAACTTGGATCCGGGCAATCCGAACTGGGAGTTCCTCGCTATGATAAGGTTTGTCTCAAGGGCAGCGTTAACCTTTCAGACTCGTGACGATCTCCACTGCGACGTTACGTAGGAATAGAGTTCCAACTGAATAAATTATGATTTCTCTATGCATTTTTCATTTTCATTAGAGATACCATGAAAATTAATTGCAGTTGCTGATAGATTACAAAACAAGCTGGAGTGCTAAGGGTTAACCCTTTGAACTCTGCAGGCTCCAACGTTATATTAGAACTCCATGACTCGTTTCTGTTTAATATTTTCTTTAGGAGATTCATTGGACTGAAAAATGTTTTCTTCAAAAGTTTCCTCTGTTACCAATTGATGTCCTCCTTTTTAGATTTCTCGGAGATACGGATGGAAAGTTGACTACTCTGTTTCTGTTCGCAGAGAGTATCAAAACAGCATAGAGTTCAGACCGCTGCGAGAATCCGACACTGTAGAGGACCATCAGATCACGGTGTGCGTTAGGAAGCGTCCGTTGAACAAGAAGGAGCACGCGCGCAAAGAAGTAGACGTGATCAGCGTGCCCAGCAAGGACCAGATGGTGGTCCACGAGCCGAAGGCGAAGGTCGACCTGACCAAGTACTTGGAGAATCAGATATTCCGGTTCGATTACGCGTTCGACGAGACTTGCACCAACGAGATCGTCTACAAGTACACGGCGAAGCCGCTGGTCCAGACGATCTTCGAGGGCGGGATGGCCACCTGTTTCGCGTACGGCCAAACGGGAAGCGGAAAGACGCACACCATGGGCGGTGACTTCAACGGGAAGACGCAAGACTGCAAGAAAGGCATATACGCCATGGTCGCGAAAGACGTGTTCAAGTGTCTGAAGCTGGCCAAGTACCGGCCTCTGAATTTGGTCATATCGGCTAGTTTCTTCGAGATTTACTCCGGCAAGGTGTTCGATTTGTTGGCGGACAAAGAGAAGCTCAGGGTCTTGGAGGATGGCAAGCAGCAGGTAGGATCAGATGTTGCGTAATTGGTATATTTGTTACTATCCCTGTTCTCGTTTCGTCTCGCATCGCTTATCACCGCCTCCGCGTGTTCTCAGGTGCAAATCGTCGGGCTGACGGAGAAAGTGGTGGAGACCTGCGACGAAGTACTCAAGCTGATTCAGCACGGCAACAGCGCCAGAACGAGCGGACAGACAAGCGCGAACTCGAACTCCTCACGGTCGCACGCAGTATTTCAAATTATAGCGCGAACACCGGGCACGCACAAGGTCCACGGGAAGTTTTCTCTGATCGATCTCGCGGGGAACGAGAGAGGAGCGGACACGTCGTCCGCCAACAGACAGACCCGTGAGTGTATCAATAGGAAATCGATTGCTCACGTGTTTCGAAACCGACACGCGTTCCTTTCTTTCCAGGCATGGAAGGCGCTGAGATCAACAAATCGCTGTTGGCTCTGAAGGAGTGTATTCGAGCGTTGAGTCGCAAGGGCACGCATTTACCGTTCAGAGCGAGCAAGCTGACGCAAGTGTTGAGGGACAGCTTCATCGGCGAGAAATCAAAGACTTGCATGGTAATGACACGGCCGCGTTTAACTGTTTGACGCAGTTGTCGCCACGATAGAGGTCAATTGAACTTTTACCACTGGCAAACACTGAAACTGACTTTTCTAAACTTCTTTATATAGCATCTGTGTATTTATTAGGATTTCAATTGGTCTATATTTCAGTACAAGTATTACTAAATCGACTTCTTTAACGATTTCTCACAGAAATCTGTACTCTTTCAATAATTGTACCAGAAGAAATCAGGAATGGGTCATTTTGACCTGTTCTAGTGTTAAAGTAGAATCTAAGTTCTTCAGAACTGCTTCCAATTGAAGCAAAGGTGCTGATCGCACTTCCAAGTCCTATAAAATGTCTGTCAGTTCGTTTATCTTCTCTCTGTATCTTAGCGACAACTATACGCACGATTCTCTAGTAACATATTTATGAAGAGAGGTTGCTCGTTTACAGATAGCGATGATCAGCCCAGGAATGAGTTCTTGCGAGCACTCATTGAATACTCTGAGGTACGCTGATCGAGTGAAGGAGTTGGCTGCGACTGATCCGACGGAGGTGAAAGTTTCCCCCACAGACGAGGGTCGGGAGCCGACGATCGAGGAGCAGTCGAACACTAGCGTCCTTTCTGACAGCGACCTGGCGCAGCTTCGTTCGCTGAATGTAAGTCTCGATCGCCTGAACCCCATCCACCGATTTTCGGTTTCTATTACCGTATTCACACCCGAGCTTCCTTTCTCACCAGGAAGGCGAGATCTCGCAAGACTTGTACACTTTCCACGAGGCAGTGTCGGCACTGCAGATGCTGGAGGAGGAAGTATTGGACACGCACAAAGTGGTCATTGAAAATACAACCGGGTTCCTGAATGACGCTCGCACCGTGTTCAGCGCGACGCACGAAGTAGACTACGACCAAGAAGGTAACGCTCGTCGCATGTTCTCTCGTTCCTACACGACACCGATCGCGTACGGGCTACGTGCACGTATATTCCTTTTCTATTTCTTCTTTATTTCCATTCCCGCCGGTTCAAGTTCGAAGCACAGTTTCCCCTTCGGGGCGCAAGAGCTTTCCCTCGATGAGACCTCGGTTTCATCGACTTATCGATC